GCACCCCTGAGGAGGCGCGCCGTTATCTAGATGAGCTGCTTGAGGCTCTCATGAGCGCTGAGTCGGGCAAGGCTGACGAGTCCGCGGCCGATAATGCAGCCGAGGAGTCTGCGTCTGCCGTCTCTGCTGAGGAGGCTACAGAAGTCAAGGTCGAGAATGGTCAGGCGGCTGAGGCTGAGGAGGAACCCACGTTGAAGGATTTGGTCCTTCGCCTCGCCAGCCAAGTCAAAGCAGACCGCAGTGAAGTCGTCAAGGGCAAAGCCGAAGACGATGTGTCTGCGGCGGCGGCGGATGACTCCAAGCTCCGTAAATTCGAGACCATTTTGTCAGAGCTCATTTCCAAGTCCCGGGACACCACTGAAACCGGCGAGATCACAGAAGGTGGTGAGCAGACCGCCGCCTCCACAGACGCCTCCGCCACATCCAAGACGCAAAACCCCGAAGACGAAATCGCCTCCCTTGACGAGACCGTGCACACCAAGACCAACGACAACTCCATTCTCCCCGAGACCAAGCCCGAACTCCTCGGCATGATCCTGACCATTCGCAACAAGGTCAATGGCGAGTACGTCGAGCGCCCCGAGCACCTGCGCCGCACCGACAAGTGGGAGGTCGAGTACTCGCTCGAGGACATGCCGGCCCTGCGGGCCGAGAATATCTATAAGATGGTTATCCAGCGGCGGTGCAAGACGCTCGACGACCAGGAGGACCGCGACAAGGCCTGGTATGAGATGTTCCAGGGCGCGCTGCACAAGTATACGCGCAAGGGTCGCATGCATCGCAAGAAGGAGATTGAGCTTGGGAAAACCAGGCCAGTGCACGTGTATGGTATGGACAAGCCGCTTGATTGGGAATCGGTCTTTGGCGAGGGTAAGGAGGAAGGTATGTCGTACCGGTGGTATGGGCAGGAAGCGGAGAATGTTGAGACTGGCACCATCGAGCTGAGCCCGGAGGAGGTGGAGGAAGATGATGGGAGTTTGCCGGTGGAGGAGGTAGAGGGGGCTGAGGAGGGCGATGCGGAGGTGGATGTTGCAGCTTTTTCTGAAGAAAAGTCTGATGACCAACCTGAGGCTGTGGAACAACAACAGTCTGAGGAGAAGTCTGAGGAAAAGTCCCAGGAGAAGTCCGAATGAGTTGCAAGGAAGAAGAAGAAGAAGGAGCATGAGGTCGCCATGCTGTAAAAAAAACAAAAGCAAGCACGTGAGATGGAGATGTAAGGAGAACCATGTAAATGCTCTCATCCCCCATCAACATCACTCTGTACCACCACCACTAGAAGAAGCAAAAAGCATATTGAATTGAAGCATCGCGTTGATAGTTTTCCCTTAAACCGTTTGATAGACCGAGTTACCATACTTTCTTTGTTTTCTCTTTGGCTGTGCCGGTATTTCAATAATTCGTCTCTCTCTGTTCTCTTTTGGTGAGGCAACACGACCTGCGATCTTTGCCACAAGTGGTAGTCTGTTTATTTTTCACCTAGGTATGCTGGGTTGAACGAACCTGACCACTGAAAAAACTCTAGTAGTTGAACAAAAAAAACATGAAAGGGGGTCGCACAAGAATTCTTAGTACGGTCCCTCGAAGTTTCTCACCGTCAGATGGAGGCATGTCTGGCTAAAGTTATCTCGCCGAAGACCAACTCTTCTGTAAGATAATTACTACTATCATTATAGTTTTGATTTGGTTTCCAGATGCCGGTCTTTTGACATACTTTGGCAATCCAAGCAAGGGTTTGAGCATCATCCGTCTCCTCAAAGCAACCACCATCTCCCAATCAATTTACTGAACCAAAGAACGAATTTGTATTCTCATCCCTTCAACGCCAATGCTATGCAGATATTCCAGAGGTGAATTTAAGACCACTACTCCCTTCTGTACGTTGGCAGGACCGTAGCCTCGTATTTTCAAAATTGTCTGTAGAAAAAAGCACAGGTAACAATAAAGCAGCAAATGGGAAAGCATCGGGATTCTTGCCGCCCTCCATCAAAAAAAAGATTTAAAAAGAGTCATTAATGTGAGCTTTAGAGAGATACTTTGCTTATGCAAAATATGCTTGCAACCTCGGAAGCTGTTCCAAGTCAGCAGCAAAAATAAGGTCGCGCTTCAGCTTGTTCGGAGTGACATCTTGCGTCGTAATCTGCAAGTTTCCATCTTCGCACCAGTTTTTGACGGGCTAATGCAAGAAGGAGTGAAAGTCAGTTTTCATCTTCGTTCTACAGGAGCGGACGAAAAAAACTTACCAAACAACTCAAATACTTGCACCAGCTGCACTCCTTATGATCCACGTAGAAGTTATTGAGCAGCAAGATGAAGATGACGACAGTAAGAGTCAAGAAAGCCGCCCTGACAAGCCACCAAACCCACCACAGCGGCTTCCGACCCTTAAAGAACCCGACAGGATTGCTGAAGAAGGAAGGCGGTGCCCCTTGCCTCAAGAAGCCGTTAGTGTCGACAACCTGCGAGTAAGGTGGTTCGTCGCCGATCCGTCGACGGAGTGCATTTGGCGATTGCAAAACACAGATTCCCAACGCAAGACCGGCCAAGAAGCCGCCAATGTGGGCGAAGTTATCCAATCCCGGAAGTAAACCGAGCACGAAGGAGATGACGATGTCGAGACCGATAAATAATAGGTCCTTCCATGGGCTCTTGCGGTCCCTCCATGAATAGAGCAAATCCAGCAGCAAGAGAGCTATGATACCGAAAAGGGCGCCCGATGCACCCGTCGTCTGCATACCGTTGGCGGCGAAGTTTCCGCCCATCACGAACCCAAAGATTCCAGCGCTAACGTAGACAATAAAGAAGCGGATCGAACCGATGGACCGCTCCATCTCCTTTCCGATCGTCATCTGGAGAAGCATATTGAAGCCGATGTGGATGACTCCGGCGTGGAGGAACATCGGGGTGATGAAGCGCCACCACTGGTTAGGTTCGGGAACGCTTTCCATGGTCGCGGTCGCATTGTACCAGGGCTCGGGAACGCCGCCGAAGCCACACAGATCGGAAAGAGTACACTTCATAGTCGGAGCATTGACGTCGTATGTCGTCGTATTAGGACAGGGCCAGCTGATGGGTTGTGTTGCGTTTTGGACGCCCGGAATGGCGTGCATGCACGGATCCCAGCGGGCGCCCATGTTGATGAGCATGTAGCTGGAAGGCCCGATGAAGGGGTTAAACTGGGGCTTAATCATGATAGGTGATCCCGTAGCCATGCCTAGATGCGCGATGATTTCATGAGTTAGTGATGCCAGTAAAAGGGTTTCTTGGTTGGTTGGGCCATACCGTTCTTGACGAGTTCAGCAATAAACACGGCTACCTGGACGGTGGTAAAAAAGTAAACAACAAAGGGTATCCTCTTCGCATTCGAGCCGAGCATTCCCAGTTGTCCTACACTAACACGACCGCTACGTGACTTCTTTTGCTGTGGTTGGGGCGCATCGTAGACGTGATCTTGCATCTCGGGGTCATTGTTCTTGTTTCTGCCGCCGCTGCGGTCCTCCAAAGGGATGTCATCTGTGGGATGATTGTAAGCCATATCTTCCTCGGAGGAAACGCGGGTTGGGCCGTGGTAGGCCGTGTCTTGGTAGTGCTGACTATTTAGATGTTGTCGGCTTGAAGAAGCACCGGACTGATGTGAAGATGCGGGATAGACATGGTCATCAAAGACGGTATCGAAGGGCGATTGGAAGTTTGCGCTGTAGGAGGTTGGCATCGGTTGTTGCCCCTGGCCATAATTTTGATTATAATGACCGGTACCGCCGCCCTGGTGGCTCGTTGCCTGGCCAGGTATAGGTAGCGGCTTTTGGCTGTAGTATTCATGGTCGTTCATGTTTGTCTCGCGGTGGCGTCGTCGCCCTTGTCTGTTGAAAGTGTCGCCGTCGGTTCGGCGTGCTCAAAGGTGTGTGTGGGACGTCGCGGGGCAGATGTCCCGATGTTCGTCTGCTACAAGTTGACTAACCCGCAGACGGGGAGATTGATCGCATTCCCAAAACAGTGAAAGTGGATGCGTCGCGGACCGGTTTCGAAAACGCAAACGGCGGCAGCCTCTGGGTGGCGCAAGCGTGGAGGCAGGAATAACGAAGCGAGGTTTGATGATGAAGGAGCGACTGACGATCTAGAGGTAGAGAGGCAGCAGAAATCGAGGACGTGCTAGTCAGCCCGAGGTTGAAATTAGTAAATCGGACGAGGTGAGGCAGGTGGACCTGAGGTGGGCGTGTTTTGGCAGTGACCGGGTTCGGGATCTCTCTTTAGCGTCGTTTCCAGGCACTTGTTCGCTAGTTGGTCCTTGTGGTCCACTGCGTTGGGACCACTCGGGATCCAGCTGGTTCAGCCCGGGCGTGTTCGTATGGTTCCAGCTGATGGACCCAACAACAAACCTTCCGGGCTTCAAAGATGAGGGCGGCGTTGGAGGTTGTTACTGTGTTCGAGATGGTGGAATGTAAGATGCCGGCAGTGCGTTTGTTTCGGGATGGCGATTAAATCAATTCCAAGCCGCAATGCAGAATGCCGTTTGGTACGCAAGGTTACCTGACCGTTACCGATCAGAGAATTGAATGCCGTCGAGCGAAGACTGAAGAGTCGAATAACAGTTTCAGGTATACAAGACAAGGAAAACTTAGAACATAAAGATAAGGAGAGTCGAAGTCTTAAGTGACGGTCAAGAGAACAAATGCGGTTGACAAAAGAATAACCTCCAAAAGAGATGACGAATGTGACAGGCTCCAGACCACGAGCAAGTGTCGTGTATGGTAGTAATTGAAGAGCTGAGCCCGGTCACCCGTGAGCTCATCAGGACATCGATGGCAGTGCATGCGCGTGGAACGGGGCGGCGCATGCAGATCAACTCGCTTCAAAGCCACAGGGGCACTCAAGACGGGACGGAACGGGTCCGGACCGACTTGGATTGCGGGGCAGTTAAATGGGTAAAATGCATGGTTCCAATAGAAAAAACACGCTGCGCGGAAGCTCATGTAACAGTGTTTCAGTCAAGTCCCGTTATGTATCGATAACTTAGATTCTCCACTCCGCTGTTTACCTCCATCAGGTACTTAGGTAGAGCCGACTTCACCAAGTCACGACCTGCGTCTCGTCAAGATTTCATGGATTCAGAACAACCTGCCCTCAAGAAGTTACCTCACTGTACCTCGTGCTGACTCTATTATCTATCACTGTCACCGAAACGGCTGGGTTTAACCTACCATGTCAGCAATATGCGCCCTAAAGGGTGCCTTCACCCGCCGACCCTCACTATGGGCTAGACCATCATCTCACATCGCCTTTCGGTCACCCGTCTCACTGCATCAACCGCTTTCTCGCTCGAGAACTTACTCTGTAAATCAGTCCAGGGAATCGAGCTTCCTTCAAGATTATTTCCAAGATCAGATTGAGAAGCCCAGAAGCCTAGAGAAACGCGATCGCTCCAAGCAGACCAAAGAGGCTCACTTAACGGATGGCACCGATTTCGATGACAGGGAAGATGAGTTTTCGAGGATACTGTCACCAAAGCAGGAGAAGCCGAAGAAGCCATGGCTCAAGAAAAGAGAGGAGAGTATTGCACGTCACGGCACGGCCAAAGCCGATGCTAGAAGAAGCAGAAAGACTGCCCGCAACATCGCCCTCCTGGAACAGGAAATTCGCATGCGGCACGCCGCTGGACGTCCCGATATCACATCCGCCATTGACCCTGAGCGATCTGAACTTACACCCCGCACTGCAAAGGAAGCGATTGCGCGCTGGCAGGAGTTGAAAGAGAAGGACGGCCATCACCAACCAAAAGAGTCACGGGCTGTCAGGGCGCTGAAGAGAGACATTAGACGGGAGGCCAAGGAGGCAAGGATATTCATGGCATCGCAGGCCGCTGAGAAGACTCGGGAACAGGAGTTGGAACAGGAAGAAAAGTTGGAGAAATTGAAGGCATCAATGGCGCAACGCAAGAACGCCGAATGGGAAGAGGAGGTGGTGCCGGTCAAGACTCGAGGGGAGGTTCCGACACAAGCACAAAAAAACGCTGTTCAGACGCCAGAAGAGCCTCAAGAAAACGACTCACCAGAAGAAACGGCCGAGAACCCGAACGAATGGGAAGACGAACTGGACGATGAAGCCGAATGGGACGGTCAGGAGAAGCTGTCTGGAATAGAGCGGCGGCGGATGAAGCTCCTACTGCGGTTCAAGGAGGGTCTGCAGAAGAAGATGGGCATCCCAATCGGCGACACAAAGCCGCATCCACAGATCGATGCCAAATGCGAGGTGTGGTTGCATAATAGGATTAAGGCGGAAAAGGACCGGGCAAAGAGGAAGAAAGACCGGATGGCGCGCGAGCATCAAAAGTTTCTGAGGAAGCTAGCGAAGAAGGCAAGGAAGAACGCAAACTAGCCGGGATGTGAATGTGCGAGCTGGAGATGAGGAGATGCTGTCGACAACGGCTGTTCCTGACTATTGAAGTGTAAGATGGTACAGAACTGCTTACTTGATTCAAACACCATACAATGTGGAAAAGTACATTCTGTTCATACAGGGTGGAATCCCTTGATGAGAATTCCAGCAAAGGAGGGAACTTCTAGTGAATGGATAGCTGAAAGCCAGAATGGCTGAGAGCTGAGAACATAAAGAACAAAAGGAAACAGAGCAGCGGCAACGAATCCAAGCAACAACTATCCGGATGAGGGTGTTGATCGTTATAGAGATACCTACCTGGATGCTGGTTGTCAACAAACAACCGTTTATGGCTGCACTCGAGTGTGTCACAATTCCAGTGAATTTTCGGTGGCAGAACAATGTATGTCCTCGAATATACCCTAGCGTCCTATCACATCGCCGGGTGTCTGCTTATTTCTTGTTTTTGTATGAGATATCACTGTATTGTACATATTAATATTCCCACCTCTCTTGTCCTCTTCGCGTACCTTTAGGAGGGAGAAGGTATCAGTCTCACGTAGCCCAACAAATACGTCTGGTCCTATACTTTAACCTCGCCGGTTTTTATTTTGGAACATATTTGTACAACATGACGTTCTTTCCTTCACAACCAGGCACCCTCAGCGGCGACAGTTTGCCCGTTGTTGAATGTAGTATGCAGTAATCATTGCTCATCCGCGTCCTCAACCCGTGTCCAGGAGCTCTCGTCTCAGACGGTAATTTAACATCCTCTTCTCCCTTCCTCCTGCGCCTCTTACTTCTTCTTCGGGGTATCATCACCATCCTTTCCCTTCTCATCCTTCTTCTTACCCTTACCCTCCTGATTCCAAACCTCCCAGATCTGATCCATGATCAAGCTCCCGTATCCCTTTCCACTCTCCAACGCCTTCTTCTCCTCCTCCAGCCTCTTCTCCTTCCACCCTTCCCTCTCATCACCCATCCAAATCTTAGTCAACACTCCCCCATCCTTCTCATGCTTGTCATTTCGGTCTTGCTGCTCCTGCGCAAGCTTCCTCCTAGCCCTCTCCGCCTCAATCAAGGCCTTGTTCTTCTTGGCCTGTTCCGGCAACGCGTCGCCGGTAGACAGCACTTTGGCCCACTTCTCGTTGGACCGCTGGTAGATCGACTTGCCCGTGTAGTCGAACGAGAGCTGATTGAAGCCCCAGAAGGTGCCCGAACCTAGAATAGCGTTTTGCACGGAGAACTGGCCGCGCCCGCGACCGGGAAGAAGAAGACCAATGGGCGCGAGAATGGAAACGATGATGGCGGAGTTGTGCAAAAGGTTGGGCGTGCCGTAATGGTTCTCGGCTGAGGGTATGATCTCGGGGGTTTCTGGGGTCGTCGCCGCCGGCGCCGGGGCGGGAGTTTCTGCTGGTGGTTGGGAGGCCATTGTGAGGGCTGTTTCTGAGGGGACGGGATCCCTGGCTGACTCGATGAGTATCGGCAGTGAGATATTACTGGGCGCAAAGCGGACTGGAGATTTCTTGTTTTTGAGCCTCTCCGTCGTTTGGTCGCAAAGGTTCGGGCGGTTCGCGGAACGCTAGCCAGCGATGACCGGGCATGCATTCGCACGGACCGTAAACCCCATCTTTTTTCTATCTTATCTCCCCGTCTCTTGTCGATAACGTAGGGCTGCAAGACTGGCGTCCGGCCAGCCCGGACGACCCCTCTGTGGATCGCACCGACATGTCGCTAACCCGCGTCTGTAGGTGTCGCCGGTACTTAGGGGTTAAACGAGATAAACGGATAAACGCATACACCTCTGCCGGGCGAAAAAAGGTTAAATTTCGTGACTTCTGGGGGTGGCAATGGCTTATTGGTAATGGGCGGCAAAGCCGGAGCTGCTATAGCTTTCTGAACAATGAACAGCCGGTTTTTCCATATGATAATCCTAGTAAACTGTAGCCCCCAGGTACCACGCTAACCTTTTTTCCCCCGGCAGAGGTGTACTTGAACCCTAGACTACTCAAAACACAGTTACTATGTAGGTATCGTAGCTAACCTTCATGACTTCTCTCGCAATTATCACATTGGAAATCCGCTGGATCTTGTCATCTCGCTCTATTCCCCCTGTCCTGACCTCTCATGTTCGGTTCCCTCTTCCTTTTCGTCGTATACACCACGGTCATTTCCAACTTCCACCACGACACCGGCTGCCATGTCGACCTCCAATGGTCCACTAATTTAAACCATATCTACCCTGGAGCACGTGAACTGCTCGACACCATCAGTGCTCGACATCGGTCTCTTTCAACGACGCTCCCGACACAGCGACTCTTGATCCATCATGTTCAGAAAAACTCAAACATGGTCAACGTATTGCATCATGAACCTCGAAATCACGCCTTTGCCGCTTTGACGCCCAACCTTTTTCTTGGACGGCTGGTGCGGCACACATGTGTGTTATGGCATGCCTGCCACCGATAAGATCCAAGGCAAGCGGGCTTCCATCGCAAAGGCAGGCCCCGGATACATGTAATGGAACTCTCTTTATCTTTCAGCTTCAGTTGTCTCTATCCGCTCCGATATTGCACCAAAAAAAATCCGCGACAAGCGCGACACCAGGCAATGGTTGGTTGTTCATGGTGCGTGCGTGCACTCGTGTCAGTTACACAGAAGGAGGGTTGCCCGACACCTGGCTTTGGCTGGTCACTTCAAAACATGGCAGCTCAAACTTATCTACACCACTTACTATTTTTTTTCTTCTCCAGCCTCTTAGAGCGGTGCACCATTACAGGTCACATGGGACTCGAATGTCTTTTTTTTTTTTTTTTTATGATGATAAGAGTCATAAGTTTTACAGGCAAACCCCCCCCCCATCATCTTCCGCTAGATTCTTGCTATTTAGGTAGATGACAAGGCTCGAGACGAGCCGAACCCCACGCTGCTGGGCTTACACTACTCGATGATAACTAATGTCCCTGCCCGGCGGAATGGATTAAGTATAGATGTCGGAACGCGTGACATGGAAAGTACAAGATCACGATATCTTGGTTTATGTTGTCCGTTACCTACGTTACGCACGACATGCAGCGTTAGTGCACCGGACGTTGGAATCTGGATCCCCTTGGCGCTCACAACAAGCTCCCTTTTCGGACGCATATGTGATGTGCCGTTTATCGACGACAAGAAGCAACGACGCGACGCCGGGTTCCCCCGGATATTAGCACACCTTCAGTTGATGGTGTTGGTCATACTCGCAACCCGCTCGGGTGACCAGAGACCAGACACTGATGGGCGACAGGTTGATGATGGTGCTTTTGGGAAGGGTAACTACCAGAATGGGCAAGTATGCTGACGACAACTTCATTAGTAGGGATCCGGCCAGCGGGTGTTCCCTTCATCCATGTGATTGCTAGCGTGGCTACAACAGATCTGTCTTACTTCACTTCTGTCATCCCCCACTATGCAGAATTTGAGCTGGCTGAGATATAGCCTGTCTTTATTGCCCGTTCAACACAATAGCTGGGTAGGCAGGCATAAGTACATAGCGGCCTTGGAACACCCCTTGGTTTTCATCGCATCAAGGAATGTCAAGATATAGAGACCATGAAGTTTTGGGTTTCGCTCTCAAGGGTACTTATTCTATAGTCCTTGACTGTGAACACATATCGATCCAGGAATCTGACATCTCGCCATCTCTCATGCAAGCTTCATCTTACAACGCCATATTCCCAGCCAGTTCCGTCTTCACATGTGTACTCTCCGGTCTTGAGTTCTGGTACCTGTTATCTTTCAAGCATTTCTCACCGGATCACCGATGTCCATAGTAATGTTATGTGCTGTAGACATTACCGCACGACACATAAGTTTCTCTCACGCATATACGTCCACACACACACAAGCAAATCACCCGTTGACTCGTACCATATCATTGTCTCTCTTTCACCCCAGATGTTAGAAATACCGTGAGACCTTAGAACCCGATTACTTGTTCCCAGTCCCTGCCAGCCTTCTAGTCTACACAATTCCACAGGTCGTCACGGACTCACAGGCAGTTAGGTACCTGAGACCACAAACACTGTTTTATATGTGATACTGTAGTGTCGTTAATCAATGATCGGGTCTGATTGGTCGGCCTCTCTGGAGTCCCTCTGGCCTCTGGGAAGTATGGGAAGGAAGAACAAAAGAATGGATGGACCTGGCTTTCTGGATAGAGGATGGAGGGATGATAAGCCATGGTCAGTCCGCATAGATGCAGGGTGACTGCTTGGATCTCGCACTATCGGGACTCTACACCGAGGAATCCGGGTTTGGTTTCTCGATGTGGATGCTGATATATGGGTAGGGAGTATAAGAAGATGGTCATCAGGGACCAGGCACAGGGCTTGTTGCCCTTCTCACGTTTGGCCATGTTGCCTCTTCTCACACCACATATTCTCTGCTTACGGATTATCCTCGGTCCCATCATTTCTGCTCATAAATTCAAGCAACAAGCATTATAGATGATGCGCGAAGGTTATAATCAAAGAGATAGAAGGATGTCGAAAAGATCCAGCAAGTATAAGTTGCGCTACAGAACAGCCATTTTCATCAAGGAAAGCTTGTTCCGTGGGTCGTCTAAAACACTATGCAATCTCTTGCTGAATCAACACGGCATATTTCTAGGGAACATGCTTCTCTACTTCTTTTCATGGAGCAACCCTCAACCACAACTGCCATGGTTCCACTTACTCATCGATCCCTCCAACAAGTGTCACCAACTTGGAATTTTCAGCAATTTGGCATTGGTGAAAAGTGATGAACAAAAATAAAGCGTGTTATAAATACCTACCTACAGACGAGGCGACCTCCACAGCTGCATACAGTAGACTGAGCAACTACTCATTCCTACCTCTACCTACCTAAACAGAGGTGCTTTTTCAGGGAAAGCTACACCTTACGCAGGTGGTTTTATTAGCCTGGCTACATAGGTATGCAGAATCTTGCCAAATAGATTGGCCCATACCTCTAGCATGGCCTATGTATGAAGTATCTCTGTTATATGAGTGAGTAGTGTAAGTTTAGTGTAGAAGCAGTAACACGGGATGGAATCCACAATCAACAAGTACACTTATGTAGCTGATTAGAGGTACATACCCCTACTGGACTGTCCAGGGCCCTGGGCGGGCATGATGTCGTTATACAAGTTTCTAGGTAAAAGCCTTCTTCTTCCTTTCTTGGGCGCTCTGGGGATTTGGTGGGTAGCGGCAGCTAAGAAGTTAATGAAACTCCTTTTTTTCTTTTTTGACCAACTGAACCCACCCTGGTTTGAATTGGTTTTCTCTTTTTCTTTCTGGTTTCTTTTCTGTTTATTTCTTTTTCATTTTCTTTTCTTTTTACAGAAAATATCATCCGCCGAACCTGCGGCGAACCGAGGTTGGAATTGGCGCGGATCCAAATGTTCAAGATTTGGCTTTTTTTTTTTTTTTTTTTTGCCTTTGATTTCTCTTCCCCCCCCCCCCCCCCCCCACGGCGACAACGGAATGTCGAGAAATTCTGCGAACGGGAAATCGGACAGTGCAACAGTATTACTCACTATTACCTAATAGGGTGTTAGTTTTACACTAGCAACCATAACGTCGGCTTTCAACCCTGATTTCCACTTCTTAAAGCTTGTCCCTCCTGTCATGGTACAGCAAGAGTGCTGAAAATCTCAATGGTTGTGAAAGAAAAGGTGTGAGTGACACCATTCACGGTTGGAATAATGAATGGGTGTTGGTGGCGATATATTGGCCCTGAATTACCAAGGGCTTGGTATGGCGTCTGACCGGTGTTGCCGGTGAGATGTTTTGGGTGGTGGGTGGACGGTGTAACTTGCCAGGTAGGCCAGTTGCCCAGATAAAGAATGGTGGACAGTCAGTCAGTCTTCTTCCGCTTTCGAGTCTGCATTCATCAACCAACCCGGACTGTCCATCCGTGGCGTTTCCCACACTCAAACGCCTGTGCAGTCTTGGCGGATGTGTGCGTGTGCACATACACACGACATTTTGGCAAAACGGACCATCGAAACGAAAGAAGACGAAGAAACTCAATTATCCTATATAAAAGACTATTCTCTTGATAATCTCAAGTACGTTAATTCAGAATATTGAGTCGGTTTTCTTTTATCTCTTTGTTTAGTAGAGATATAAGCAAATAAAATCTTATCGATGTTCCGTTTTGCCAAAAAAGTCGTGTGTGTGTGCACACGCACACATCCGCCAAGACTGCACAGGCGTTTGAGTGTGGGAAACGATCAGAAATATTCCAAGTCGGATTTATCTCCACGCTTTGCGGCCATATACACCTTAGGAAGTACCTGCAGGCCGGCACTCAACGTAGCATCCAGAGTACATAATTGGCTCGTCAAGCGTGGGGATAAATCCGACACAACGAAGTGAGACTTTAGTGATAGCACACAGGGACTAACAACCACCGCGTCAAGTTCAGACATCTTCCATGCCGAGTAAGATGCAGTGAAGGTAGAATATCAACTGCGATGACGGGGAAGACGGGAAGAAGACTGACAAGCACGAGGTGCAAGTGCAACTTTTTTTTTTTTTTTTTTTTTTTTTTTTTCATCATTTTCTTTGCCTTTCTTTTTTTGGGGGGAGCAGAAATCATGAAAGTAACCACTGTGCAATCGCTTTGAAAAGTCCCGTCTTCGAGAAACGCAGATGGAAAAGCGCCTAGATACACCGCAACGGAAACGAAAGCGATCCCGTTCGTGTCGGTCATAAAATGTTTATCGTCAAGGAGCTTTGATCCCTTATGAGCACTGGTGAAGTAGCACTCTGTTAACACATAGCAAGCCCTGATAAACATATACCTACTACGCAAATTTGGCCGTGTGACCGTCCATCCATGGTATGATATGGGTGTAGTAGCCGGGTGTCGCATTCGTAGTCATGTCACAGCACAGCGAGATTTCATCCCGTGTGTGGTTGCGTGGTGTTGTGGGCTTTGGCTTTCCATAGTCATGTTGTTCCTCACACACAGGTTCCTGGATAGGAGATTCATTGGTCAATTTCTGCGCTGGCCACCCCAATGGTCCCGGGCAAGGCCTTGTCAAGCAGTCAAGACAGTTTGTGGTTGTGCAGCATCACAGCCCGCCGCGTCAGCACGTTATTCGTTCGCAAGTCTGACGTGAAGGGAGCGGCCGGTCGGCCTGTTAATCCTACGAGTGTCCCTGTCCTTGGGTTCTGTCTGGAAACTGACAACAAACAAGGCTCTCCAAGATGGCAGTTATCTGTAGCCGAGCTCAAGCCTCGAAGCCATATCCCATCATTTGCCATGTGCAGCCGTGTTGGGCGCTCAAGACTCTCTGGCAGCATTCAGCCCAAATATCGCGATACTCGCCTGATGCGACTCACAAGGTTGAGATGTCCAATAGGCTTGAGCCTTGATAACGTGGCGTACCGTCCGTCTCGTGCGGCAGTCCAACCGAAGGACCCAAAAAAAAAAGAAAAAAAAAAGGATGTACTACGACGCCGTCAAAGATTCCTTGCAAAATCGTGAATCAACGACGATGACGATGCCGTGCGATAGGCGGTGAAAGGTGTCAGAGCGTACCTTGTCTCGACTGAGATGCGTCTCTTTAATGCCTCTTGCCTGCCAAGGGGAAAGACAGGTTGTCGATCGCTTTTTGGGATGGAACACAGCTACGCGGGTGATGGCTCTCTATAGATATCTGGATTGCTGTGCCGCAGACGCACCGGCACATCGACTGTCGCTGTCCTGCAGTAGATTCGAGATTAGGACCTTTTTTTTTTTTTTTTTTTTTTTTTTTTTTTTTTTTTTTCCAGCCAGTCCGGTGGGTTCTGTGTCCTCCAGGTATGAGATGGTCAAGAAAGGACGGGAGGAATGCCGTGCAAATACCTTATTCGAATCAAGTCAGTGGGAGTCGTACATGGGAGAAAAAAGCAAAGGCAAATTGTCGAATGGGAGATATTCCAGCATCCGGCAGGGTCTCAAAAGCCCCTGGAAACTGCGTGAGAGAGGTTGTTCAGGGTCTGGCCGCACGCCAGCCGGAAATGCGCTTATCTTGACCCCCACAGTCCTGTTCCTCGTCATCCATGTGGCTTCGCTTTGTGCGTGTCGTCTCGAGTGTCACTCACTCTCTTTTGATAAAGTCGCAGCACGGGGACTTGTGGTTGGCCAGTACACTAGAGGCCCCGGGAGGCGTGGGCATGTCCCCAACAGCGCACAGATCAGGTACACCAGTGGTCTCGCCGAGGGGAGTGACCTTGATGGCTTCGCGAGTGGCCATCCCTGCTGGAGCCCCGGTTGTTAGAATCATCCACCCGCAAAACCCCCGCTTCCTTCCCTGCCGATTCCCCTCCACTTCCTCCCTCAGCGCCGCGGTGTCCATCCACATCCTTCCTCCCACCCTGGCCCCACAGTCACAACTCACAACAACGGCCTGGCTTCCCTTTGGAACCTGACTCCAAATGTTTCAATACCTGCGCTGCGCACCTGCCCTTCCGGAGAGGTAATGGATTGTAACCCTGTCCGGGTGTCCATTTCAGTCGGCAACGACACGCTTCGACGCCCCGAGGGGGAGGCAATGCCAGGAACGGCAATGTTCTGACAATGACTGCAGATGCAGATTGTAGGTAGGTACCTTGGCCAAGTACCTGTTCATCTCGTCGTGGTGATGTGGGCTGGTCGTCGGTGGCCGTTGAACCTAGCGCCACAGCTCCTCCAACAACGCCGGCGTGGTGGGTAGACTGGTGTGTAGGGCTACAATCCCTCCATTCTCCCCACGGGGTGAAACTGGATCCAAGTTTACCGACGGATATCAAGTCCCGAACATCATCGCCATCATAGTTTTACCCCCAAAGCCCCCCCGAGGCCCCCTCCCACCTTTACGCGGGACTCTACACTAGAGACTGCACTCCATCGGGAAGAAGGCCGCGGTATTTGGATCGAGTCCACAGCTACGTACGGAGGCCTTATGTAGAGTACTCGGACGCCGTTGAGGTTTCCGGATTTTAACCCGTCAGACTTTGATTTATAGTAACCAAAAGCTAGAACAACACCGTGGCCGGAGCTGCTGCATTATTGGTACCTCGTTCATGCCGGCAACCCGTCTCACGCCTACCAAGACCCTGGTCCCGTTGTCGCAACCTACTATCTCCCTCATTCGAATCTTCCCTGCGAGGTGGGCGTGCACGCCGCTATCTCCCTCCTTCCATCTCAGTCGATGTCTCTCCCATCCCGTCATTACATTCTACAACAACACAACCAGTGAACAGGACCACAAGCCAATTGTCAGGACAAATAGTGTCGGGAATTCGAATCCAATCATCCCGCTACCGACTCAGGCTCCTTTGTTGCCTCGACCATCATATCTGAGTCTACAGGTTGTCCCCACCACCACGCAAGCGCTGATCTCTTTGATCTATCTTGTTGGCCGTTTTGTCCATCCGTCCCCTGCGTACACCTCACGCCCACGTACGTACCATCAGATTCACACCAGGCGTGACCTTCACTTATCGGCGCCACGGAACGAAAAGCAAACGTTCAGCATCCCATCGCAACGCCCAGGGCGGGCCCCTCATCAAGTAGCAACCTCGCTGGGCATATCAAGATCCACGATACTTGCTGCACCCCTTCCTCCCTATCATACCTCTCCTTCTCACGACATCCAGGTCCACCGCCAGATTAGGCTTGTGCCAGATTGCACCAGATTGTGTCAGATTGTGCCAGAATTCCGTCGACAAGAGGGACCAGCTAGCCAGCCCCCACCGCTTCACAGGTCACCCTTTATCGCCGGTTCCTGGATCATCCTCTCCCCCCTGGCTGCCTTGTTTTGACCCCTTCGGGCACATCCCAGCCGTTAGGACCTGTCGACCAATCCACAGGCGTCCTACCAGCGATCCTGTCCCCGGCTGGTGATATACATACCGCATACGGAGCCGCTCGAAAGCCCAACGGCTCCTCTTGACTTCCGTCATCAACCCACACTGAACCTCCCGTCTCCCCACAGTTTCCACTTGTTTCCCAAAGTACCGAGAGACCCCTGACTCTTTCCCATCAAGTTGGAGTGTGAATGTCCAACATCCTTTTTGTTTATCTACCATTCCATGGACCTCCGACGATTCTCCCATCAGCAATTCGTTGCCATATGTGAGCCTCGATAGTAACCACCACGAACAGTACCTATCTATCTACCTACCCTACTTGCCTTACGTACTGACGTGAGCCGGTACCACCATCCTTGGGCGTCATTTATATACTACGTCACGCGATCCTTCCACCGTTCTCATTCACCTCAACCCTGTGAAGGAAGGGCGTTGTTGGAGTTAGGAGGTCGACGGGACGACAGTCGTTCCGGGGAAGTTGACGGGCATGTCAGCCAAGTCGTCCCCATCGCCGCTCCAGGCGCCGGTTAACAACCCAGTGGACGAAACCACGATGCCCAAGGGCCATTGTCGATACATTCTGTGCGTACCAGAAATCAAGGGCCACCGATGTGCCTGCGTCGGCTTCTCTCGCCAGAAAGGCATTCCGGGCGCGACCTGCCAGTGTGGTCATCTGGCCTGCTACCATCAGAGGGAGCCAGACTCGTTACCTGGCGACCAACTCGAACTGCTAAAGAGGCGTATCCAGCAACTTGAGGAGCAGGTTGCTAGAGGTATTGCTGAAGATGTTGTCAGCAGGTTGTTTGATGTGGAGCACGACATGAAGAAGACCAGAGGTATCGTCAGCAGGTTGACAGACGTGGAGGAAACCTTGGAGAAGAGTAGGGAAGAGTTTGGTGAACAGATCAAAGGGACCTACCGGAATGTCAGCATCAGCTGGCGGTCAATCGAACAACTAGAGCGCAAGACTCAACATCAGGACGAACAACTGCGTGAAGTGTGCGAGAGGTTGAGGGCCCATGATGAGCAGCTTGACAAGTTACAGGCAGGACAGCTGGAACTCAGGGACGCCGACATAAGCCTCGAGGAACGGATCGAGAATATTGCTGAGACGATGGAAGAGCTGGAGGACTCGCAGGACGCACGGGACGCAGAGGAAGACGACCATCTGGCCAAACTTAACGGACATCACCCCCGAAGACGGTCCACATCTGACATATCTCGCCCAAACTTTCCTGCAGGCCCTTTAGGCCTTTTAGGCGGTGGCGCAAATCCCATCGACATTCACGGCCACTCGCAAGTAGGGCGGCCGCCCGTCCGAGAATATGGAGAAGGATTCGCGCTCGACGGCACTCTGATCTCCCACCCCACGAGAACACCCCCGCTCTCTGCCCGGTCGACGGGTGCCTGGACCGTTCATATTTCGCTGCTTCCCCATGCCCGTGTGCCCATGCCGTTCGAGAGGAATACCAACGCGTACCAACGATGCCTATCACGGGGTCTCCACCAAATGGTAGCTGTTCATGGGAGGGACGCTTCGTCGTTTGTCAAGGCCGTTGAGAAGGCGTTCGGCATGTTCCTGAGAGGCCGTCTGTGGATGCCCCTTCAAGCCAAACTCTGCGACGCCGAGCCACTCCAGGGCCTTCCGATGCTGCGTCAACTTGAAGCTTCCCTAGTCGACTCCAGCTACGACCACGACTTCCTCCGCAAGAACTGTGCCGTTTGCGACTCGAGTGGCACGATTGACTCGCTATACATTGCTATGCGGCACGACACCATTTCGTGGCACACGCTGAGGCATGCTCCTGTATTCATGGAAGGCCTCGAAGCCGCGTGGGCATATGACCCGATGCTCGACACGGATCCTTTTGATGGCGACATGGCCGTTGACGACAGGGAACGGCCCGCTGCCGGTGAGATCACCTCGGTATTGCCTTCTTTGGCGCCGCCATCCTCCCTCAAACGATCTCGCGCAGAAATGTCTCGATCCAATAGCTTTGGGGCAGCCGCTCCTCCAGTCGACGGCGAAGCGACCCGAGTAAAGCGGACTTGCCCAGCACCACCTTCCAGCTCCATCCTGGAGCTGCGAAGGCGCGTTGAAACGGCATGACTGGAAGAAGATGTACGCTTTGCATCTGAGCTCGATAAGTAGTGATGGGCGCTGGGATCAGGGGGGTAGAATAATATCATCAGCTTCTCGACTTAATGTGCCCAGATGGTCATGTAAGGAAAGAAGGAGGGCATATGTCGACATTTGTCAACAACAGGCGTTTGATTTGAGAGGGGTAGACGGGGGCGTATGCTCATATACTTGGTGGTCATGTTTTTTCAAATTCCGGGTCGAGAAGGGGTAATCTGGTAACTGGATTCACACGGTCACCTATCCAGCATTCATCCTATAGATGTTGTGTGTGCGTCGGTGATTTTATTTGCATTCTGTTTAGCTGCTTATCTTCGTTGATACTTTGGTTCGAACCCAGATAACTTCAGGCTCTAACACAAATCTTTCGGGGCGATCAGCTAGGAAAAGGCAGGCGCGTAACGACGATGATGGCGATCATGATGACAAAATGAGGAATGGATTGAATGAAACTTGGAAGTTGTTTCCAAAGTTCCTCCGGAGTGCAAACGAATTGCATAACTGTTGATGACTGCTGTCAAAAGACGGGCGAGGCGTGTGTCATTTCGATGAGTATTCGGGAAAAGAGCTTATGAACGGCCGACAGAGTAGGAGAGAGAAAAGAAAGTTGATAGATAAGTAAATAAATAAAAATCTTATGAAAAAAAAAATTGAGAAAAAAGGTATATCCGGCAGTATTCGAAAAGGAAAGGGGCGGTCAAGACTTTGTCTCACAAACGACATGGTTCGCTTGTAACACACACTCGTCGTTCGAACTGCAAATTCTTAGTATTTCGACCGACCTCACTCAGTGAGGCAATGCTCCCTTGGCGAACAAGCCCCAATTCAGGACTTTAGGGACTGTGTCTGACATGCTTTCTCGAAGTACGTATCGGGGTGTTAATGCTGTGGTCCGTGGGGCTAGATGCCCGATGTTCGTATACTTTACGCTAGTGGAACATAGTGTAGCAGCTTGGTATATTGAAAGATACCTAATGTATTTTATCAGCTGCATCCCGTCCCTGTGTTTCCAGAAGAAGCCGTTGGGGTTTTGGTGGCTGTACCGAATTGGATGAGAATAAGTAAGTGAAGTTTACAGTCCAATGCTGGTTTGTTTGTTAGCTCGGTACACTACAAGTAGGTAGGCACCTCTGTTGTACTCTGTCCACTAGACGAATCTATCCTTCATAGTCCCAAACCTCGCAAGGACAAATCAAAATAGCTGAGTTCGAATCACAAAGGCATTAACAAGAATTCAATGACATATTGAATATCAGAAATGGCATCTCCAAGGTAAGATCACGCATTAGTTAGCTAATGAAAACGCATTAGGAAAGTTGACGCAAGGCCTCGAGCTAACAAACAAACCAGTACTGGCCTGTACATACTTGGTTGCTGCACTTTTGTTACCTGATACCTCTATGTGTACCTATCTCCCATTCACCGATGCCAAGTGGAAACCTTAGTCAAGGCAAACTGCTCCACTTTCTGCCCTATGTACCGCAATCCGACCTGGAACAGCCGCGAGTTGGGAGCCTAGGGTGGAACCTTGTCTTATCGATAGGGCGTGTGGGTCCCAACCCACCCCAGCAAACAAGCGGACCCAGACATGCCAGCCGTGCCTGGCTGGGCTTCTCGATCCAATTCATCCACCGACGACAAAGCCAACTTCAACCCTTTCCACTTCCCACAATCGCGACGACAGATCACACGCATCCTTCCGCTACACAATTCGCCCGTAATGACCGCAATTTTAGTCTAACCTACAACTAGTATTCATCTCGCGGACCTTCCGCTGCTTCCAATACTCCGACTGTTCTCCTGCCAATCAACAAACCGGCAGCAATCGCAAACATCCAGTTACCGCTGTCTTGCGCCCGGACGCGGAATACAACTGTCTACCATCGCCATTGACATCACATAACCCAACTCAGGCTGCAGTCATGGATTTAGATATTGAGATGGACGTGGACGACGTCCATGACGTTCAAGACATCCCCCAGATACCTGAGGCATACACGCACGACATCATCACGGGCGAGGAACAGGTTTGCGCTGGCTCCAGTCCCTACCTTTTCGGCTCAGCTGAGCCAAGACAAGTCACTTATCAATCATTCTGGTCTACAGGAACCCGGCGAGATTGACGATGACGGTCCCGACAACGTTAACGGCAACGGCGACCATGCTCAGTCCGACAAGGCACTTGTCCCTACGAAAGTCCACGTTCGCGGTCTTGACACATTCAACCCTGAGCAAGTCAAAGGCTACGTTGCCGAGCACTGTGGATTGACCCAACTCGACAGGGTGGAGTGGATCGATGACACCAACGCAAACCTTGTCTTCAGGTCCGAGGCTATTGCCCAGGAGGTTCTCGTTGCTCTCGCATCGGTCGCTATTGCCGACCCAACAGCACTACCGCCACTGGAAGAAGTCCCCGCCAAGGGCTTCTCGGGAAAACCAGATAGCGTATTATTTGTCCGCTTCGCCGTCCAGGGAGACAGGAAAGTCGTCGGTGCTGCGGCCCGCAGCCGTTTCTACCTTTTACATCCAGAGTACGACCCAGAGGAGCGAAAGAGGCGTGGCGAGTTCAGAGACCGGAGGTATAGGGATCGCGATGATGGCCCACGGGGCAGGAAAAACTACAGGAACGACCGAAACGACCGCCGCAGAGAACTTGAGGAAGAGGAGAGTGAGCCATTTGACGTCAATCTTTACGATGACGACTCGACGGCGCTAGGCAAGCGCATCACAAGGCCTGCTTCGACACGTCCTCGGTCGCGGTCTCGGCGTGGCTCGGTTTCCAGCAATTTCTCGACCGAATCTAACAGATTGAGGTCGTACTCGCGACAGAACCGAGAAAAGGAGCTCTTCCCTGACCGCCGCCGCTCCAGATCGCCACGCCAGCGTAATCGATCAGCATCACCTCTACGAGATCGTGATAGTGACGCACGGATGGATTTAGACGCCGAGAGAGACAACAGATACAGGGATGCTGCTTCGCTACGCAGCCGGGAGAAGGGTCGGGCGATCAAGGAGCGTTTGGCCAGGACCGAATCTCCCAGAGATCGAAGCAGAGACGACAACACCACTAAGGAGCTTTTCCCCTCAAAAGCCAACAAGCCCAAAGAACTCTTCCCTACCAAGGTCTCTTCAACTATTGGCAGCAGGGCAATGATGGATCAAGTGGAGGAGGACGTCGGAAAGTTGGCAAGCGGTATGTTCGACATTTCTTTAACAACATCACTCACAACAGCCACAGCGGAAGCAACAGCATCGCAGCACTGTCCCAAGCAGGAGGGCTTCTCCTTGCGGGGTAACACGGTCTTTTCCACGCTTGTGAACCTAGAGAAGACCGTCTCCTCTCGCAAGTAAAGGCTCTCCTTCTTGGCGAAGTAGTGCGGTGATGCGGCGACTGTCAAGGCACGATTGTGCGTGCCCGCCACATGAGATACGTCCAAACGCAACAGATGACAAATGCTCGACTCAATTAAGAAAAAAAAAACGAAGCTTTTGATGAATTCATAATTAACGACGTATATAGCTAAATTAGCAGATCGAATTACGCGGACAACGACAACAACGACATCCGCCGGGGGTTTTAGCATCCGTGGTCTGGCGACCAAGAACATTAGCACCGACCAAGGGTTCAGGATCAAGGGGACAGGGACGACAAGCACGACGGTAAAAGAACTATTCCCGGAGAAGTTCAGCGGAACAGGAACCAACGCAGGAAAAGAATTGTTTGCTGAGAAATTGGAGGGTAGAGGGCAGAGGAGGCGAAGAGCTGAGGATATGTTTTATTAGGCGACGGCACCTCGGCGAAAAATGGATGAATTCATGCTTGCGACCTACATAGTCGAGGGAGCCGGACCGTTGATACTCCTAGGGAAGGGACAAGAGCAATATGCTCATTCAAGGCAGTGTGCTTATCTGGCCCTATCATCGATCCCGCGTCACATCAGTCGGTTTGTGCCGCTCATATCCGACTTTCTCCCTATATACAATTGAGTCTGGACGATACAGTCGAGCAGTTACAGACTGGTAGATTGTATAAAACCAACAAGACTGGAAAGAAGATATTGACGCTGACCCGCTAGGTCGGGAAAATCACTAGTGATGAACCACGTCACAAGTCACTCCGCGCATAGATGTTGTAAATTCGTGTCAATGATTGCAGCAATGAGATGTTTGTGAATATAGTTGGGAAGGCGACATGGTTCATGAAACAAACTTGGCCATACACGCAGTAGTACTATCCGTCATGTCCGCAGCAGCTTTGTGGAATGAGGAGAGAGCAAGGAGCCCAACAAAGCCGAAAGTAAGGAGCGCAGTTTCAGATTGCTAGGCAAGCACAATCCCTTCACTCATGCGTTCGCTTTCATCCGAAGTAATCCATGTCTTCATGGCTGCCGGCGAGTGTGGTTGGCGACTTAACCCGAACAGCCCGATACTGGCATCAAGCTCTGTTAAACCAAACCCTGTCTGCATCCCGCTTTCCATCGGATTCTGATTGATTGCCAACCTTCTCAGCTCAACCGCATACCGCATCCAAATCGTATCGACCAGCCCGTCGCTCTACCCCGCCAAGCGTGGCACATTCAGGTCACTCAAAACCCGGTAACACTTGACGCTTTCATTCGCACTCGCCTCTGTTCCCGACAAATCGATGTTGAGCTGCTAGACTAAGTGGTGAGAGAACGGCAGCGCGCAAATTCGAGGTAACTGACTACCCACCCGCTCGGAGGAGTTCCGCCAGAGTTTACGTTCGGTTAGCAGCCGATATTACAAAACGTACGTAGCGAGCGGGATGGCCGACAGCACCAGCTGGTTGCGTAGATTCCAGCAATCTCGCGCGCAACCTGCCAAGCAACAAGCGCAGCCCGTCATCACTTCTACATCGGAGGATAGCTCTGTCACAAGTGTAACGACTATCGACGGTAACGAGAACGCCTTGCCTTTACCCCATCCCACGTCAACCAGCAAACACCATAACAATGACGGTGGCATCCACGTAGTCAGCAACGTGGGGAGCGGGAGCGGGAGCGGGGGAACAGCGTTCGGAGGCAACACCAGCGGGTCTGGACCACTGCCGCCCAAAACTCCCACAGCGGGTGTTTTCTCCTCGGGAGCTTCAACGGCAAGCTTACGGCGACCATCACTGCCTCATCAGAAATCGCCAAGCGATAGCAATGTTAATGGCACCAGTAGCCGATTGTTGAGGTCGAGGCCGTCAGCTACTTTCCAACGGGTCTCAAGTTTGCTTAATCTCGCAGCAAGTGGGAATGGAGCAGATTCGCCCTCGGCCACCGCCCCATCGTCACCCTCGTTCTCTTCCGGGCGACCTCGTGAGGGAAGCGGTGGCAGCACCAGCCGCTTTACCTTCTTCCGGCCGCTGACGCCGAGTGCTGCGGCAGCACCGGCACCATCGTTGAGTGTGTTGCCGCTTAGAAATTGGAGCGCAACGAATGGGGATGATGAGGATGACTGGCTGGGAGGACTGAGGCGGAATGCCGCTAGGGGAAGCCCCTGGCATAACCCCAATTTGATGCAGATGGCGGAGACGTTGCAAGCGGTTATGATGACGAAGGGGGATTCCATGGCTCCTCTTCCTGTCCAGTAGGTCACCTCTTTCTCTTTCTAGTTCGGCATGATGAGGAAGTTACTAACGAATCTTTTTGGTGTGAAAGATATAACTCGCTTGTTCACAACGTACTCGAGGGCTTCGCACACCTTACAAAGCGGTTGCAAGCCTTAGAACAAGAGCTAGCTGAGCTCAAGAACCTTCGAGAGAAAGAACTGGAGCAGTTCCGAGGAATCAGCGAGGAGTGGATTCAGCGAGAGGACGGCTACAAGGCCGAGATCAAGCGGCTCGAAGTCGTGCTCGCTAAGGAGAGCAAAGATGGCCTAGCAAGTGTTACGCTGGCGAGACAAGATACGCTCATTGATCGGTCAGGGAGCAAAAGGTTCCAGGCGAAGTTGAAGAGGATGAGTACTACCGCTAATCGGGATCGAGGTATGTTGGGCGAATCAATCGACGAGGGTGTGCAAGATTGTGAAGAGTTGATGGAGTTGTGTTAACCATTTCTTTGGAGCAGGAGAGAGCGATGATGATGGGGACAAGGTGGTGGACGAGCTCTTTGGGGGTGAGAAGACCAGAGACAGAACTCACTCCGGGATCAGAGGTACGGAACCTCGTTGGGTATATTCTATCAATAATCGATGCAATTTACTGACTTTTTCTTTTTGGCGGCTTCCCAGAGAGCTCCCTGCGTATCCTTCCGGTGGACAATGATGCTCGCATTAGTCAAATGGTAAAGAAACGAGCGATGGAGGACAAGCGGTGGCGTAGGTCACAATTGCAACCATCTATGGATACTCCTCCTCCTTGTGTAGAAGAGAGTCTCGTTGACTCATCATCGCCAACATCTCCCTCGCCCACCAAGCCGCACAGTGGCCCTCGATCGAGTCAAAATCAGCATGTGGTCTCCGTGAACGGCCAATTATACAGTCCCTCTACATCCAGTAGCTCCACTGCGAGTACGGCCTCACAGGAGGCAAGCCGTAGCTTGTCTCAAAGGCGCAATATCAACAATCTCGTAATCGAAACGGGGGACGTATCAACGGCCGTAAATCCACGACAGCGGCGCATCTTTTCGTATATCGAGGGCGAGGCTGAGGTGCTGGGAACGGCCAGTGCTGCTTCAGAGCATCGTCAACACCTCTTTCAAGACTATTATGGCTTTACGAACACACACAGACAGCATGAGGGTCGGAGTGAAACGCAACCACCAGCCGGTACGAATGGCATCGACTTGCCCGACCGTAACTCAACGTCAACAGTGCACCCAACGGCGGAAGGATCCATGGGCAACCTATCATCAACACGCCCCGCCGAAGAAGATTCGACCACAACCTTCACTAGTATTTCTTTGGAATCAAGTAACCTCACAGGCCTCACTCCATCTAACTCCACCGGCTCGGTGATTTGGCTAGGAAAGCGCAACAGCAGAACGGCAGCGACAGCGACAGCGGCCGCCACCTCCTCTGCAGTTCGAGTGGACCAACCCAGCCACTACGAGACAAGCGTCGGCGGCGAAGACATTGGCAGCGGAAATTACGAGCTCGGAGAAATGACCAGCACTACCTACCACCAATACAATTCGACAATGACGACGACCACAAGCCCGAGACTGGGACCTGGATTCGGATCAGGACCGGCGATACCTCCCCGAACTACCTCCCACCAGCAGCAGCATAGGGTTGGGAATGTAAGTCCTATCAAGGACAAGTTTGAGCAGCTGTTGCAGCAGCAGCAGCAGTCACAGCCTGGCAGTGGGAAGAGTCCCGCCCGTGTGGTAGAGAAAAGAGACAAAGACACAACAAAGTCTCGGATGAACAAGAATCACGTCTCAGCAACGGTACCAAAGTTCACCGAATGGACACATGGGGATCTGCGCTGAGCCGCTTGCCCTGATCGGCTCCAACTGTTCTATGACACGTCTGGAGTTTTCAGTACTTGGCTGACATGGGGTGGTTGTTGGTTTGCCCAGATGTCCCCAAACTTCCAAACGGTTCTGCCAGAAGCAAGGTCACCCCTTATGTTCTTCTGGAAATTCAAGCATGAGAACAGAAATGGTTGAAATCCATTGATTTGATTGGTCTATAGCGTGACTTGGCAGGAGCTGGCCATAGTGGTGCAAGCTCGCAAATTCGGTACATAAGCAGAAAAGTTTGAGAAATTGCAGCCAAGACGGCTATCGCTACAAACGGTAACTCCCCTTTGGACGTGCACGCTTGAAAAGGTAAAGTGGCTCTGGTGAAGAACTACACTAGTCACCGTTCGTGTGTGACTTTCCAGTTTGAGCCGATCAGGATCTCAAGATGCCGGCTAGCCGTTGAACCTTTCTTCTGGGATAGGACCTGGGCTGGGAGAGGGCTGTTGTTGTGTTTGTGGGGATTATGGAGTCTGATTTGTCGTGTTTTGTAATGAGGGCGTTTGAGGAATGGATCAGGGGGGGCACGGAGGAAAGGATTAAAGGAAGGAGGTGGCAACTGACAATGGGGAACAGGTCCACCGAATCGGTGACTGGAGTTCACTGGGATAGGTGATCTTTACTAGAAATTGCTAATGGACATTGGGGTCCGTTCTCATGATGGATCAAGGGTGTTGGGGTGTTGGGGCTAGAGCCTAGAGTCACACACGTTGTGGACATCATAGGTTTACCTTCGGATCAAGATCGGGGGTCGGTCGGTCTGCTGGGACTACTCAAGGACCAGGTCTCCTCAAGGCAAGACTGTCGACGGATTTCACAATGGGACCAGTGGAATGGGCCGGCGAAACTCGTGATAGCACACTCATGGTTAAGGCGATACGAACGCCTATCTCGCCCCTTGGTTGATGCTCCGCACTAACTTGTATAGATAGCGAAACAACTAGTAGTGTTCTACACAGTAGTGTAGGTATCATCAATTCCTATTGCTTTAAGCCCAAGCCTTCAGATCCAATACTCGAGGAAAGCAGAAACTGATGATCTCTCATGACTGACTACCCACATACACTCTCTCTCCTTCTACGCGGTACGTATGTACCTTTGAACGGCCCGGTGGCAAAAGGACTTGTAATATTCATAGTCCACGCCGAAGCATCTAAATGAAAACCTAATATTCTTTTGTGGATGTGAACAGATTGGGTGGCGAACTTGTCTCGCCTCCGATTATGCGATACGGAGGGAGTATCTGCGTTAAAGGGTAGTAAATGTACTTGCCTGCCTCTTGACTTCACCGGAGAGGAGGTCACACTGTTTACGGGGCCACCAAGCAGTCTTGGAGCAGATCAACCTGCGAATGTCCATGAGTGGGAAGTACTATGTAGATATCTAGTGTACTATGGACACGACTCAGGGGCTTCTCCGTCTTGGTATGACTTCTTGGGGCGTCACACGTTGTGGGTACGTAGCTCATGTAAATTCTCGTATGTACATAGTAGCTGAGGCAGAGGCATCTTTACAATCTCCAATGCAGAAGAAAAATAACAGTGGAAGCATTTCACCTCACCGCTCCTGACTTGACTTCAACCTTACTCCTCTAAAATGAAGTTCCGTTCGAAAATTCATTCCTCGCAGCCCGGTAAGACTCTAGTCATGTGAACAAACGAAAACGGGCTCACCAGGGAGCAAAACACTAGAGATGTATCAGTATACCTAGGGAGAGTGTCCGGAGTCACTGTGGGTCTCACATTTATCTTCAATCTTTTCCTTATCCTGTACGGTGATTGAGAGACACTCACTCACCACTTACACTTGATGTCGAGTAGGTATCCGACAGTCAGTTGTAGTCGGCAGCCTGAAGTTGCAAGTTGGTAGTACCCGTTTGTATGCTAATAGCCCATTGAGTGGCCCCTTGGTAGATGAGAGGAAGACTTACCCCGGAAGAGGAAGGAGGATAATGGATTTCGTAACCCAAGCCACAACCACACTCCTGGGACCGAAGAGAAAATAGCAAAGTGATGGTGAAAGTAATATGCGCAGCTAATGGCCATCACTACGTAGTGTACCAGGTAGGTATGTACCCAGCAGGAGACTTTACAGGCAATGACAGAGTGGGTAAAGGAAGCAAAGATGCCATCATGTGCATGATGATGGAAGCAAGGATGACTACACTACTGGATAGGCGTTCACGAAACGGTCACATTTTCTTGGTTCTTGGTACGTACATTACAGTGCACTTTGCACATCTGAAATTACCATATGATCCCAAGAACCTGGGCCAGGGGATCGGAGACCGCAGATCTCGACACCACAAGGTCTGTAAGTGAGATCGCAAAATAAAACGGAGAAACAAATGGGTGGAAGTCTGATAGAACGAGAGTGTGGTACATGGTTAGAAGGTCGAAAAAGTAAAGGGAATAAAATAAGAGAGCCGAAGAGGAAAGAAAACACTGTGTTCAAAACCCGAATGAGGGCAAAAGCAAAACGACCAGACAAGGGGAAACCAAAGAAGGAAAGAAAGAAAAAAGGAATTGTAAAAGGAAAGTAGGAGAACGAAAAGGCGAAAAAGCAAAGAGTGAGAAGAGGAAGAAAAAAAAAAAAGAATTTTCCCCTCGACCGGAATCGAGCCGGTGACCTTTCGGTATACAATCATACAATTACAGCCGAACGTGATATCCAACTACACCACAAGGGGATATATTACTGCGAGCTTGCTCTTTTAATCAAGTACTGTGATCAGTCAGTGCAGTGAATTGTAGTGGTTTGCCGCGCGATTCTGCCACAACAACGCAGATGCGGTTGTTGTTTGGCGCTGTTCACGACTTTCAGAAGTGATGTTTGATGGCTAGTGACTGACTTGCAGGCTTCGCGAGACAACAAAAGGAATCATTGTCATTGTCACCATAGCACAAGCACAGCACACGGAGTCCCACTGAATCTCTGTTGGTGCGACTATGACTGACGCTTATTTACAGCCGGAACACCAACACTAAAATCAAATACTGAGGCAGATTCAGTCACACAAAGTTTGCGGCCATCGACTGGCTGAGTGGCTGGTTGTTTGGTATTGTGTGCGTATGATATCTACATGGTATCGCCGACAACCACTTACGCAGTTGCCAGTAGCTACCGTGCCAATGTTATTAATGCCAGCTGCCGAGTCGGCTTCAGTGCCGGTGAGTGATCTTCCTCTCGACAATATGAAATTTCCTCTTTAAGTGGTTGTTGGAGTCGGCATGAGTGTAACGTTGACTGTGATGGACATTGTTTTCCCTATGCGTGAATTGCGGATATGTCCCGACTGTTGCCGGCGCTGGGAAACGGATCGTTGGAGTAACGATAATAAAGGGGAATTCCGGTGATGTCTCATCCCACTTTCACCGACATTGCACTAGCAACCGATGACGAAGTTTGTGGATGAGATTCTAGTGTACTATGTAAGGTAAGATCATTGTATCCTGTTTTATGGATCTCCCGATCCATTGTTGGATATCAAATCAGCATCTTCATCTCCACCGGGTGTTGGAGGTGTGGACTTTACCGTTGTTATTGGGTCGTTATTGGGGGTTCGTTCGTTTTTAGTTCGATTACTCTCGGCGACGAGGCTGTTGGAATATCCAGTAGCTCGGTAGCTGAGGGGACAGGTGAGGACCCCTTTGTGGACCAAGTAAGGGTTCACGATAGGCCAGGTCGGAAAAGGCCCATTCTCGACCAATCCCTATCGGGGATCCTCCTTCGGATACATCTAGATCCGCGAACTGAAACCTGGCAGATGACGAGATAGGCGCCGCTCTTCGGCAGTCTCGTAACGGACGCCTCATACCGAAACACATCGGGCCTGGGTTCTGGGGAAAGCCTGGGCACCCTGGCTGTTGGCTAGCGAGACGAGCCCCAAGCATGGCCCGGTGATCGCTGCATGCCAAGCAGTTCGCCGGGCACCGGCGGGGAACCAAGCACACGTTGTGGTACACATCAAGACCCCTCGCCCAGCAAAGACGGTCAAAAGGACGGAGGCTATCCCTTGTCAGCCCCTTGTCCTGCTGAATCTCCTATGCGCGAGAGTGGGTTTGCTGCACCGAATGGATCTCTTGAAAGCGTTGTCGACATGTGGTGCACCGTTTTGTCTGGTATTGGCCTTTGCAGGGGCCCTCATCTGATCTCCGAGCCCATGCCAATTGTGGGGATCACGACTCCTAGTGTACATAGTAGAAGAATGTGTGGGACGGGGTGCCTGGTCGCAAGGGTGCCACGGTCAATAACGGTGAGAGCCTGCTTTTCGGTCCGTTTTCTGTTTTTGAGACGAAGAAGGGTTCACCTCCCTGCACCCACCGAAAAGTTACAGGTACCCACCCCACCAAAAATATAGGGCAGCCCAGCTGATGACATCTCATATTGAAGATCTCGGTTTTACCTACTAAACTTCGTATTTCCCACGTACGCTGATATGCGTTTTATCTATGGTAACTTAGACCATAAACTCTTTTATACTACGAAAGTATCACGAGATTTTCATTGTTATTTTAACATCTACAGAGGTACGTGTATGCCTGGTGGCAAGTTTTTGGTGGGTGCGGGGAGGTCAGCCCAAGACAAGAAGAAGGGAGAGGATGAGAGAGGGGCGGCGACACTGTGTTTAAGGTGAGACTGTGATTGTTGCTGCAAGAACGGAGGCGCTCTCTTCGTGCGACGCACATAGCAGCAAGGGTACCTTTCCGGCCTCCAAACCCGCTCGGGGGGTTCGGACAGTTTGTTAATAATGTCTTCTGATGATGGTAAAAACGACCAAAACGCTCTCATTTGTGTGTGCCTTGCTGGGCACAAGCTAGTAGCCGTCACCGTTGGGACTACCCAAGATTCGGCGGGCTTTACTGGACTTGCCGCGGTAGTCGTTGAAAGCGCAAAAAAGGTCAGGTTCCAGCCATCCAGTCAGTCAGTCATCCAGTCGATGAACCACTGGAGAAAATCCAAGGCTT